CAAGGCCCTCTTTTAGCCTTCAACGGCATACAACTGACAAAATAACAAGCTGGCTGGTCTCTCCCCTCACCACGAGTTAAACTTTAGCTGCATATGTTATTCTCCTTAGATTCTAGAAGGAGCCACCTCTACTCTTTCATGATGAAATTGGCTGATTTCAAGGCCTCTCTAAAGTTGAGATTTCAGAGTTTGGAAACAATGCCTGAGAAGAATAGTCATTTAATAAGAGACTAGTTAGAAATGAGAAAAGAAAACCTAAAAAGAGAAAGGCTCATAACCTAGAATACAGGGCAGGTTTACTTACGAAAAACTTTGCATTCATTTTATTTGAATATAAAAATACATGTGAGGATTCTGCTAACAACCAGGTCTCAAGACAGGCTAAGAACAAAAACTGAGCATATCTGTAAGGAAGTGAAAATAAGTGTAACGGGACCATCCTGAAGTTTGAGCTGTTTTAGTGGAATCACAGATTCCCACCCACCCTCCACCTTCAGGGGAAGAGTCCATTAAGATAATGTCCAGTCATCTCCCAACACTCCAAGTTAATCTGTAATGGAGTATCAGGACTAAGACACTGTATATGTGCCTGTCATTTCTTTCCCCCAAAGTAAACAAGGGAACTGAACCACACAGGTTTTAACACATAATACCTTAATTACATCAAACAGCTTCCTGAGGCTCAGGATTGATAAAATACTCAGTTCAAAGCAGAGACTGTGGAATTTTAATTTAAACAATAAATGAGAAAAATGTTAACATTTTGCTGGATAGGAGAGAGTGGAAAAGAATGTTAAATGACACCAGTCAATATTATTGGTTATGTTAGGCCTCAAACTTGGTGTTTTAGCTCATGTATTTATGGGCCATGTTGATAACAAGCCATCTGAGAGGCAAGTCCACTTCAGCTAGATTCACCCCAGGACACAGAACCCACGAGGACATGTCTGGCTAGTCCTTAAGACTGTGCATGTTTTCCTACTGTTTCAGGCTAGTCCTTATCCTTCCTGCCTCCTTACTCCCCTCCCTTCAAAGAATAAGCTCCAAAACAGCCCTCCAGGGTTTTCTCTGGCCTAGATAAGAAGGGTCACACAAAGAAGGAAGTTTTCACTAGAAAGATGGGGTCACTGGAGACCCACAGTTGAAGTCCAGTGAACAATGAAAACAACTAATGACTTGAAACCAGAGATATGTTAGGAGGCGGAAAGGGAAATGGGATCGAAATTGGGGGGGGGGGGGGGGGGGGGGTGGAAGAGCATATGGGACTGTGGTGATGGCACACGGGTGAAGTGGTGGTGGGAAGCCCACAGGGACTACGACTGTGATGGAAAAATGCAGAATGATGCAAAAAATAAATAAAATAAATAAATTTATTAAAAGAGAAGAGTTTGACCCCTTACACTGAAGCTGCCAGTTTTTACTCATTCACAAAACTGCCTTGGAGGAAATGATCACACTGTCTGATGCTACCAGTGGAAGAAAGGCCAAGAGTTACTTGGCAATTTTCTAGGGTAACCTCTAGAAGAACTGTAACTTGCAACACTGAGGATTAGCCTGCTACTCTTTCTGCACATAGCACTTGAGTAGAAGCAGTGATGTAAGCCACATAAAATTGTTTTGTCAAAATCCACCTAGAGAGATCTTAATTAGATAAACAATTTAAAATCTCCCCTGTCGATTTAACTAAAAGCAAATATAGGGTTAAGAACCAGCCTTGAAGCATTAGCCAATGGCATGTACTTGAGCTCTGGTTTCGAGTCACCACTTGGACAGAGCCAGTCCAGTGTTTGTGGGTGGCTTAACCCCAGTACTCCTAGCTGGTTTCATCTAGCTCCACACCCCACGTGGAGAAACCTGGAGATCACAGAAAGGGCATGGTCGGGGTAGTGTTGGGGTTGGGGGGTTGGGGGGGGTAGGGAGGGTGGAGCTCAGCCACAGACAGAGAGTACACAAAGAGCTGGGAGAAATGGCCAGAGGGATCTTCAGGTTCCCAAAGACTGAAAATGAATATATGGGCTGAAAATTTTGAACGTTCCTTCTTTTTATATTCTGAAATTTTCCCCCTGGACATTTTTTTATGGAAGGGTGGCAACTCACACAAATGTTACATTCTAAATGTGAATGAAAATGGCAATATGATTTGCTTCAAAAGAAATTAGTTTAGTAAGAAAGTTTTGTAATTTTTTTAAAAGAAATCCAGGCTCATTTGTATACAGAAATTTCTTTTTACCTTTTCTTTCTATTTAACTGTCTATCTGGGATTACAATAAGGAAATGAAGTCATTCTGGAATTGCTGAAAGTATTCTGTGATGACTGAAAAAGCAGGGGAGATACAGGAAGATAAAAGGAGATTGGTTCCTGTGTTCAGTGGCCTTGGGCTTTATATTATTTTTATAAAGCACTACTAATGAATTTCTCCTAGATGAGAATAAGTACATGGCAGCTTACCTAAGAATGCTGTCATAGGTAAACATTTTGGAAGAGTGCGAGCAAAGGATATTAAAATAGTTCTGGGCAATTTAAACTTCATGCTTCTAATAAAAACACTCATTAGCCAGGTATCACATATAATCAATCAATTATTTTAATAAAAGATGTGTTAGTTGGGTCCCTCATGAAAATTCTGGTTAACAGGATGGATAACAGAGTAGGTGTTTCATGGCATCCAAATCTGACTTAAGATAGCCTAATAATGGATCTTCATCTAGAAACTTGACAGTTTCATGGAAAAAGTGATCAAATTGCCTCATGTTGTTTTTGTTCTTACTCTTTAATAGTCCAGGTCCTGAAATGGAAGAAAGACTACACAAAGAATGGGGGAAAGTGCAGAAAGACAGAGCAACTCGTTTTTTCAACTGCTTTTAGAAATATATGTGAAAAGGGAGGCCTGTTTTGTGCTAGAATTTAAAAGCTCTTCAAAACAGAGCTAACTACCAAATTCAACCCCCCAAATTCTCAGGATAGTCCCACGATGAGATTTAAAAATTGCAACAGTACCATGGAAGATTCCTAACATTGCCATTACAGAGCAAATTCTTCAGTTGCTCCTTAATTTCAACTCAATTTAAAATTCTTCTTAGAAGTCCAGGGTGCATCACAGCACATCATGTTTGATGAACACTTGGCTGTCTGAGCCAAATGATGGGCAACTGCACACAATCCGGATCAATATTTTTTGTGCAGTGTGCAGAAAGACAAAACAGAACTCATTTTAGAAAGCTGAAGTTCGGGAAGAGAAATCACGAGTCAGTATTGTGGCCAGTCAGAGAGAAGCAACTCATATGTTTTCTCTTTTTAGCAAAAGCCTCTGAATTTATTTGACTCAACAACATATATGTCAGGCTGGCAAGATAATGTGATAAAACATGGGTCCCACATCAAAGGAAAAATGGCCAAAAACTTTACAATATTCTTGTTTTTAAGGATAAAAGTAACTCTAGATATTATGAGGATATTACGGTGCTGATAGAAATCAGAAATAAATCCTGGTTAAAGGGAATAGATAATTTGATTCATGGTGCCCTGGAACTTATATTTGGAAGGCATTGGGGTATATACAGGAAATAGACAAGGAAGCAAAGATGTCACCTGCAAACATTTGCTTTGAAATGGTAGAAAGTTACAGCTGCTAAAGTCTCACTTGGCAAATAGTCTCCATGCAACTCTTTTTATCACATTAATTAAAGACAGTTTAATTAAAAGTCTACTTTAATTCAATTAATATCAATTCACTGATAATCAAAATACCATTTTCAAGCCAAGGCCATGTCAAACTTACCTAAAACTAACTTGGTTACTTTAAAACATCTGATGAAATTCAACAAGTAATAAATGGTGCCAGAATTGGGCTATGTGCTATACAAGCAAATAACAGAACTAATGTTATCTTTTGATGTATTCATTAGGTTAAGAGAAAACCTATTTTCCTGGCTATAATTATTTCATTACTAAGAATTCTGATTTTACTATTTACAGGACATAGTTTTAACAGATAAAAATGGAAGGGGTGGTAAGTCAAAGGATTTAAGATGTTGTAAGTATTTAATTTTTACTAACAATTGGAAATTTTAGTGAACTGAAGACAAAACAACAAAATATGTGCTATAAAATTTCTTTCTCTCCCTTTCTCTGCATTAGGCATCATCGGTTGTCAAGATAATGCCAAAATGAAGACTTTTTCAAATGACATCTTAACTGTCAGGCAAGAAAAATTCTCATTGAATGTGGGAGGAAGGGAGAGAGAAAAATGAAATCTGATGACTTTTCCTAGAAGGTCTGGATCAAAGTCTGAATTCTCTACCTCAGGGCCTCAAAATAATTATGCTTTGCCCAAAGTAAAGCCAACCCAGGAATCTCAATTTTTAGGGAAATTGGCAAATATTTGCAGGAAGAATCAACTCTGCTTGACACACAAAAATTAATGTTGTTTCTTGTGAAGTATCTCATCCTTGGCTTATGTATGAAATTAACAGTTCTATTATCTTGGACCTTAGTTGCTTCTTTTACATTGTAAACAAATTATTTATGATATGATGTATTTGAAGCACACCTAAAATAAATCATTAGTTACGCCACTTTAACCTACATTAATTTCACCTTTTCGATGAATTTTTCTCTTATACCTTTAAAGTAATAGTCTAAAAGAACATATTTGAAAGAGTCTTACCATGAGTTATTTGGAAAAATGAGGAACACTATTCATTCTTATCATCTGAAATGAATTAAGCCTGGGATTTAATGTTAAGCTATATTTATATCACTTAGCATTGATTTTTAGAGATAGAATGAAATTTGACTCAAATGACTAAACCTGATGGAATAGCTCTGTATTAAAACTCTTTTTTTGTGATTAGTCATGTATAAGCAATATCTCTATTGACCTCCCCAGAATTTCTCTGGAGGTCCTTTCTGTCTAGATGCTCATATCAAGGTGAAGCACAAAGAGGGGGAAAAAACTATCTATCCAACATCCTTCACCGTCTTTGCTTATAGCTATCAGGAGCCCTGCTTTTTGAGACATTCCCTAGAACTTAATAACATGGAGCAGAGCTCACATGACAATTGTGGGACAGATGGGGAGACTTAGAGAGCCTCAGAGAGCCTCCTTGGCTTTTCACTTACGCTCTCCAGGCCACCTCTTCTATCAAACATGCAGTGGGAACCAGAAATAATCCCAGCCAGAAGTGTGCAGAGCTCAGGACCATGGTTGCCTGCAAGAAAAAGAAATGCCACGTGAATGAATGCTTCCCGCAACTAAAAACAACAAGATATAATTTGATCAATGCAAAACATCTCCTAATGTGGAACAACAGAAAGTATCACATTCAAGTTAAAATGCACACACAGAAAGAATGTCAAGTGATGCCGACGGGGTGATCTCCCTCCAGTCTCCACCATCTTATATCCTGCTTTTATAGGTGCTTCTACCCCCTTTCCCATTATAATGCTGTCCTAAATTCCACCTATAGAGAAGGGCTGGAGTTGCCAGACTTTTACAGAACAAACTTCACTGCGCTAGGGCTCTTTGATTTATTTCACTTATCCATCAGTTCACATCCTTTGCTGCTAATTCTTCCTTGGAATTAGTGTTCTGGTGCAAGTCTATGACTGTCATCATCTAGAAAATGATGATGAACAGGTTAAAATCCTGTCTTGAAGGATCTTAAAAATGTAAATACAGGCCCTCCCTGGTGGCGCAGCGGGTTAAAGCCCAGCACTGAGAATCTAAAGCCGCTTCCGCATGAGTTCGATTCCCGCCTGCCCCGGAGGTGACCACTTGGTGTGGCAGACCTCTCCTGACCCGCCCACTGCTCCCCTCAGCAGTGTACTTCGTCGATCTGCCTGTTCTGCTCCCCACTCTGTCTCTGGTGAAGCCTGTCGCCGTCCCTGAGCCTCTGGCCTGTACCCCAGTTCTGTATGCACAAATAAATAAAATCTTAAAAAAAAAAATGTAAATACAATTTATTCCACTAAAGGGCTTCAGTGGAAGGCAGTTGGCTGGAAAGATACCTTAAAGAGGACAGAGTGTGGAGCGTGCCTGAAAAAGACTTCAACAGATGTCAAGGAAGTGAGGAGGACCATTCCAGGTGGAAAGAGGAGTGACAGGAAAGGGGAGGGAGAGGTGCAGCCTTGATGAGAACAGAATTCCTTGTTCCTGACATGATTAGATAGGGATAGTTTGGGGGGAAACAGAGAAGGTTCCCAGGAACTCAGGTGCAAGACCAAGTGGACTTCAGTCAGTGCATCTTTGAAAAGGAAACTGAGGGCAAAAAAGGAAAGGGAAGGAAGAATTTGCTCTGAACACAAGTGGGTGCAATATAAAGCACCTGAAGTATGGTTTCTAGTGAGCAATGCCCGGAGCATGGAGATAGCGGCCTGACAACTGGCAATTGTCCCAGGATGAGTAATTTAGAAAAAGGAGCAATGTTACAGTGTGACAGAATCCTTCATGTTTCTTCAGTTATTTCTTTTTCCCTGGCGTTCTGATCATTTGATCCACTGGAATAGATATGTTTTTGCTAAAAGCCATTACTAAGTAGAGCCAGGCTTGGAGTGAGAGCAGAGGGGGGTCAAAGCTTAAACTACCTTACAGACCTTGCAGGGAATTGGGATGGGGCGAAGAACACCCCAGAGCAATCTTCTTACTGGTGTACAGGAAGAGTGGTGCAGGTCTAGTGTGGCAGTCAAACTCCAGTTGACTCTTTATATTCCATCTTCTGTTCTATCTACACAGGAAAGCTCCTTGTTACTCCACCTAACTCTATTCCAGCTGGGTTGCCTCTTAATTTCTGTCCTCATAGTTTCTCTGTCTGCACACCTCAATTCCAGGGAAGCCACAGCTTGCTGATCTGTCAAAGTCCCCACCTAACCTCATCTGTTTTGTTTCTGAACTCCATCTCATACCCTGTATGGTATTTGAAATTTTATGACAATAAAATTGAGAAGTGAGATTTGGCATCTCAAGTTCAAACCCCAACCCTAGCATTGAAAGACTTTCTTTCCTTTTCTAAAAAGGGAGGACTAGCTTTCTGAAAGGCAAATTAATTTTTGGCTTTCTCTTAAAAATGTTTAAAATTTAATTTTGGAGTTACAGTTTTGTCCCTTCATAATGTGTACATGTTCCATTAACTCTCCATCAAATCACCTGAGCCAGTACCTCATCTGCTTCCCTTCTTGAACCTCTCCTCCCTACCCTCTGCTCCCTCTAGTAACCCTTAAATTCTTTCATATGCTCAAGATTTATTCCTACTACATCTTTTTGGTTGTTTATATTCCACAGATGAGTAAAACCATTCAATATTTTTCTTTCACTTTCTAACTTATCCTTAACACAATCACCTCAAGGTTCATCCATTTTGTCCCAAAAGCCACTATTTCACTTTTTTAAACAGTAGTTATCTATTGACTATGTATCCCATAGTATCTTTATGCACTGGAGGGCACTTATGTCGGTTCCATGACTTGGCATTTGTAGACAGTGCTGCTATGAACTTAGGTATAGTTGAATCTTTACATATTAGAGTTTTCATAATTTTAGGATAAATAACTTATATAGTTATTACTGGATTGTATAAAATTTCCATTTTTATATTATTTAGAAAAGTCATTATTTTCCATAGAGTTTGTACCAACTTGCATTTTCATCATTAGATGAAGAGTTCCATTTCCAACAGTAGATGAAGAGAACCAACATTTGTTGGTTCCATTCTCTTTGATATGGGCCATTCTCATGGGGGTGAGGTGATATCACATTGTGATTTTGGTATGCATTTCCCTTATAGTAAGTGACACTGAGCAACTGGTATTTTATAAATTTTGGAAATTAGTCCCTTGTAGGTGATGTGCAAAAAAAAAAATTTTTCCTATTTTGGTTTCTTTGCCTTTCTTCTTCTTCCCTTTATTTTTCTTTTAAAGACTTATTTATTAAGCATGCAAGAATTGGGGTGTAGGTCAGAAGTGTGTGGGGGTGTGTGAGAGGATTCATCAGAGACAGAGTGGGGAGCAGAACAGGCAGATCTACTGAAAGATACTGCTAAGGTGAGCAGTGGGTGAGACAGGAGAGGTCTGCTGTGTCTTGTGGGCTAGCTCCTTAGCAGGGGATAAAACTCATGCTGCAGTGGCTGGTGATAACTTGACAGTGCTGAGACTTACCCCTTGTGCCACCAGGGAGGCCCCTTGTGATGCTTTCTTTTGAGGTTAAATAAATTTGATGCAATACCACTTGCTTATTTTTGCTTGGGTTTCTATGCCATTAGAGTTGAGTCCCCAAAAACTTTCTTGTGGTATATATTCCCTAGTATGTCATCTATGTTTTCTTTCAAGTATCTTATAGTTTTGTTTTTTTATATCCAGACCTATAATCCGCTTTGAATTATTTTTTGTGTATGGAGTTAAGTATGGATCTAGTTTTATTTTTTTGCATCTGGCTATTGTCGATCCCAAAACCATCTGTTAAAGAGGCTTTCTTTTCTCTATTGTGTAGCTGTGGCTCCTTTGCCCATGATTGTGTGGGTTTATCACTGGGCTTTCAGTTCTATTCTACTTGTGTGGGTTTCTGTTTTTGTTGAAACCATACTGTTTTGATTACTGTTACTATATAGTATAGTTTGAAGTCAGAAAATATAATATCTCCCTTTTTTCCTCATTCCTCTTAACTTTAGCTACTCAGGGACTTTTGTCATTCCCTATAAATTTTATAATTGTTCAGTTTCCTTGAAAAAGATCATTGTGATGTTGATAGGTATTGCATTAATTCTGTGAATTGCTTTAGACAATATGACCATTTTAATGATGCTTCTTCTTTTACTCCATGAGCATGGGATATAAAAAAAAAATGAAAAATTTAAAACATGTGGCACATTTTGCCCTATAAATTATGCCTCTCAAAATTCACTCTAATGAAACAGGTAAGAAAATGTGTAAAAAAGCAAGTGTAAGAGTATTCACTAGAATGCTGAATTATCTAATAAATAGTTGTCAAAGAAGAGGATTTACTAACTGCATTGTTCTACCTATGTACAATGGTCTCTGAAACAACAATTAAACTGACATTGAACCATATATTTTGGCACAGAGATATGTCAAGTTATATTTCTAAAGAAACATATGAATACTAAGACAATATTTTATAGGGGGCCTACTACAGCATGAAGGGTGTGAGAAACAAAGCACAACTGACCCAAGTCTCAACCTTAAACTTGAGATGTTATTTCCAGGAGCTATCTACCAACATCTTTGCTAAGGATTATACTGTGTCATAATATGTTGATATACACCATGCTTTTTGTCATCCCATCTTGATATTTTCTCATGTAAAAAACAAAACATCATCCCAGGTCTTCAGAAACAGTGGAGTGGCCCAGGTTTGATAGACCTGAGCTTGTAAACTCCTTTGCACATGTATCTGCATGCTTGTCTGTCCAGGAAAAAATGGGAACAGTATATCAGAAATATATAATATGATTGATGAAGTTTATTTTATATCTCTTTGGCTATTTCTACTTCCTGCTTTTTTTCTACAGAAAACATACTATTTATGTGAAAGAAAAAATTAGCATACACCCCTTTCATAGGGGGTAGGAGATGGATTACCTGGCTCCTTTCTGCACGTCTGCATTTTGCATCTAATCCTCCAATCCCCCTACTGGAGGGTCTCCAGGAGTTGAACCCAATCAGCACTTGGTGTTTTACTTTTGCTTTAAACACTTAAAATTGAGCTTGACCCACATAAGATGGATTTTTCAAGCTATACTTGTGTAGATGTGTGCAGAACCATTTGCTAGGTGTATTTATCAAAGAATATGGTCATTAAAAATCATATTTTACAGTAGTAATAAACTATTGAAAATAGACTATGAAACTCAGTAAGTTCTCACCCAAATTATCAAAGATTATGTGCAGATTTATAAATATTGTTGTTTTTTAAAACCTCAAGTGTGATGAAATCCTAAATAGAACTAATTTTAGATGTGTATCTCCAACAAGGATCTATCTTTAGGATTTTTACAGACTGACTGATATCCAAAATTTGAAAATCTTCACTAAGGCCACAGCATTAGTTATTTAAATCTAGTAGGTTGTTCCTGTTCTTTTAGCACAACAAAAAATGTTTATTGAGCTGTGTTAGGTGACAAATGACACTTAATTACACCCCCTCTTCCCCCATTTACTATTAAGGGAGTGGGTTAAAACTTCCTTTTGATGTGCTAAC